ACAGCAAAGATAACAAGAGCAGAAACAATCAAACAAACAAAATGGGACACTGAAAAATTAAAAGTGAAGAACGAACTGACGAATTTTCAAGAGTATATGGATTGAGAGAAGTTAGAGGAAAACCAGCCAGAAGAGGAAAGCAGGGAAAGTGAACCAATTGAGAAGTGGAAAGTTGTAAAGAAGGCTATAGGCAAGGCAGCGGAAGAGACATTGGGAGAAATTACAAATGGAAGAAATGAGGAATGGTTCAATGAAGAATGTGCAAAAGCCATTGAAGAGAAAAATCAAGTCAGACAGAAGATGTTACAGAGGTTCACAAAGCAAAATCAGGAGACCTAAAGTATGAAAAGAAGAGCTGCTAAGAAAGTCTGTAGAGAGGAAAAATTATTAGTTAAAGGTTTGAAAATATAGAAATGTTGAACAGTATGCATGAAAGCAGGAAGTTTTATAAGGAAATTAATTGGTTCAGGAAAGAGTATCAGCCGAAGCTGAATAATTGTAAAAGTAAAACAGGAGAGGCTTCGGATGGAGAAGGAGAAGTGATGAACAGGTGGACTGAGCATTTCTTGGAGTTGCTGAACATTGTTCTAGAGGAGGAGGCTGTTGAGAATGAAGAAGTGTGTCAGGTGTGGCAACCACAACCGCTAGTCAATGAGCCTGACAGAGAGGATATCGTGTTTGCCATCATGGACTTGAAGAACTCTAAAGCCCCCGGTGAGGACAGGATAGTTGCAGAATTGATTAAATGCTGTAGTGGTAAAATGAAGATCCTAATATATGAGTTGATCTGTGATGTTTGGAGAGAGGAAAAGATGCTGGATGACTGGATTAATATGCCCTATTCTTAAAAAAAGCACCAAGGATCAGTGCACAAATTATAGAGGAATGACCTTATTGGAAGTTCTGTATAAACTCCTTTCTAGTTTAATATTAAAAAGGCTCCAAAAATATGCTGAGGAAATTTCAGATGTTACCAATGTGGTTTTAGAGCTGGCCAAGGTACTACAGATCAAATTTTTGATTTAAGACAAATGACAGAAAAATGCTATGAATATGATATTGATCTGCACTTATTATTTGTTGACTACAAGCAGGCATTTGATAGCATCAAAGGATCAGCACTGTTAAGAATGCTAATGAAAAATGGAGTGCCACATGAATTAATTAATTTAATATGCATGAACATGGAAAATGCATCATCCAAAGTTGTTATTTGAAATAAAGTTGGTCGATTGTTCAAGGTACAAGCTGGAGTGCGTCAAGAAGATTCTTTATCGGCAACGCTATTTAATATAGCTCTGCATGCTGCGGTGAAAGATGCAGTTAAAAAGGTACTGTCGTTGATAAGACCTGGTAAATTTGTGCCTATAGTGATGACCTGGTGATTTACACTTGAAATGAAAAGGCACTTAAAGAATCATTTGAGATAATATACAAAATGGCAACACAGTAAGGCTTGTGGTCAATGCAGATAAAACTAAATACCTAAAACTGTTCTCTGCAGCAAGTAGAAGATCCTACAGCTAAATCAAAATAAGGAATTTTAGGTTTGAAAATGTACCCACATCTGTGTATCTTTGTTCTGCCCTAAATAATGAAAATGTAATCAGTAGAGAAATCAACAATAGAATAATGGCTGGTAATAGAGCCTAGTAAACAAACTTAAAACTTCTGATGTCTCCATTGTTGTCAAAAGCAACAAAATTAAAGCTGTATAAAACACTTATTAGACCATTAGTCACCTACGGAGCGGAAATCTGGTGTTTATCACAATAGGATTGCCATAAACTAAAAGTATTTGAAAGGAAAATAATAAGGATTTATAGTGCAACAAGTGTTAATGGTGAATGGAAAACCAAAAATAAACAATGAAATCGAGACTATATTAGATAACCAAAACATTACTAACTATATCAAGGCAAGTAGGCTGAGATGGGTAGGACATGTGGTCAGAATGGAGAATGAACAGGTACAGAAGAAAATATTGGAAACGCACTTCAGTAGGAAGATGAAAAGAGGAAGGCCGAGAAGCAGATGGAAGGATGAAGTGGAGAGGGATGCAAGGAAGTTAGGAGTTCACAATTGGAAGAGAGAAGTGGAGAACAATAACTCAGGAGGCAAAGGGCCATGCTGTAGTACTGGGGAGCGTTACGACATCATATTTTAGCAATTAAGTCATCCCATTCATTTTATGTCTAATACTTACATTTTATCTCATTTTAGTTAGTTTTTATTTTCATTTCACTTAGTTTTTATCACATAATATTCAATTACATTTCTTTGTTAATTTTTTTTTATTCCTTCTGTTAGCTAATTTCATTAATCCTCATCTTAATTTTTTTAATTAGTCCCCAACTTCATTGCTGTTATTATTTATTTCATAAGTTCCTCTCTAATACTGTTATTATTTATTTCATAAGTCCCTCTCTGTTACTGTTATTTTTTTTTCATGTTCCATACATTATTATTTTTTGATTAATTTTCATGTATTACCTGGTATTTTCTTAGCCCTGATGAAGGCCAGAACTTTGGGCCGAAACATCAGCAAATATAAAAATAAATATAATTTATTTATTTTTTTACTGAAAACCCCAAACAGCTTCTCTTCAATTATTCACTGCAGTCAACCATCAATCCAATATTTAAACTTAAAACTGGGCTGAAAAAGACAATGATTGACTCGAATTATTGTCAACCAGAGGTATGCAATGATTGATAAGACAGTTGAATTGGATTTGACGGTTAGTGCTAGGATATAAACCCACTCCACCTTAAAAAACTGAAGGCATACCCCCTATCTAGCAGCTACAAAAGGGACTAGAAGTTCTCTAAAATACCATTGGGTCCTTCTAGGGTCAAACTACCTGGGTAGTGTACCAATGACAACCTTTAACGGCAGGGTTATACTGTTGTCAAAGGCTTAAAACAAAAAATATATTTATATAACTAATAAGGAATAAAGAAAAGCCAAGCTAGTACAGAACATAATCTCATACAAAATAGATACTTTACATACAAGGTTACAAAGTGTCTTATTGGTAAAAATGGACTAAACAACTATTTGACTCTCAGTTAATAATGAGCTTGGAAGCAGTTCAAATATCCATATCTTGTTAGTTTAATAGAAACAATTATTTAAATAATTTCAATAGGTTAATTTCTTATATTAAGAAAGAATAACTTTTATCTAGAAATTAATAAAAATTGTCTCACTATGTTCTAGGTCTGAAGTACCATCAACGTTCTTATCATAACCCTAACCATGAAATATCTTGACTTACCAATGCTTTTCAGGCCATTTTTGGAAAAATTCTAAAGCATGAAAATACATGTAATAGGAATTATATTTTTATTTTATTTTATTTAAATACTGTAATCCAAAATGCTGGTGCCTTTATAAAAAATTATGAACTCTATGGAGGATAAGTTCGTAAGACATTAAACAAAAATTAAAGTGTCTTGTTGGCATACAAATATCAAAGCAGCTTCTTTGATACTAAAAACAATAGAAACATTATCTGTAATAACTATATTTAAAAATGCCAAAACATCCTGTTTTTTACATTAAAATTACAAAATGGACTTTTTTTGTTCCCTGAATAATGCTCTCTTATTACTTTTATTTCAGAAAATAACAAAATATCATATTTTTTACTGACATAAAATTATAATTCGGTATCAAAGAGGACTTATTGTTAGAGAAATTAAAAAAAAAATTAAGGTTCTTCTTCCGGAATTCATTATGTCATCTAAAAAAACTGGGATTCAAAACATTCAGGTTGGTCTAAAAGCCATATTCATGTTGCTGAAAAACATTTAAACTTATTGTGTATGCACAAACGTTAAAAATCTTGCAGAAAACTAAAAGGACCCAACCAAGTTTTGTCCTCCTTGATCAGAAAGAAACCCCTTTCATTTGGCCTTAAAGATATTGTTGCCAGAAGGAAACCATTTTTTCAACCTCTAAAAAAGTGAAATGACTCAAGTTTGTCAAAGAACACGAAAATTGGAAGGAAGCAGAATGAAACAGGTGACAGTATGTTAGAGACGATTTGGAGTGGAATTTTCGGATGAATGTATGTAACTAACAGTAAAAGACATGGAGGTGGATTCTTAATGGTTTGGGAGTATTTCTAGATTTGGATTTGGAGACCTCTTGTAAGTAGATTGAAAACTGGATGTAAAATGGTAGGTAACTTAGTATCTGAGCTTTAGCTGATTCGGAAGCTTTATTTTTCAGCAAGCTGATACAAAATTTGGTATTTTGCCATTTTCTGAAATCAAAGTAACATTAAATAGAAAAAAGGAGAAATTTTGAAATATGGAATGTTAAATCAAATTACTGAAAAAAATAAAGAATTCAAATATTAGAACAATTTTCACAGATACACTCATCTTTCTAGAGTTAATAAAATGGCTCTAGATTAATAATGAAGAGAAAAGACTGAAATGGATAGCAAAGTAGTTAAACATGAACAATAAGGTAGTATTATTCAGAGGATAAAAAACATTAACAAAACGCATTGGTCCCTTGGCTTGTTATTAATTGAAAATAATGTTAATTTAAATATATATATATATATAAAATATCGGCAAGGTTATATCAGTTTAAGAAAATACAAGGTACGTAGGGGTTTTAGAATGATATAAACAATTGTAAATTAAAACATTTATCATTTTTATAAAAATTTGGTTTGTTAGAAGACTTTTTCACACCACTGTAAATATTATATAAAGTTATTGTGACCAATAATGATTCAAAATCATAATAATGAAGTCATACCCATGTCTTCTTATTTGTGAAATTCACTGAGTTTCCATGTTTTTTTTTTATAACTCCCTGCCTTTTTTTTCATGTTTAAACAAAAATTACCAGACTTTTCGTTATGTCAATTTATTTTTAAAATATACACATTAGAAAATTTATTGTTTTTTTTTTTTAAAGTAAACTTGGGATACATTAGGAATTCAATCAAATATGAAAAAAAATAAAAACAATATCACTTCACTGTTTTTTTTATTCAATGAATATACATGACTATATTTTTACAAATATAAGAATTAATATGTGACAACAGGAATTTCTTTTTTTTAATTTCATAAAAAAACAATATATATGAAAAATATATCAGAAGCAAGGTAAATTACAAATAAGGTAAAATAATTTTGAGGCAAAGGAAAAAAAAAAAAAAAAAAAACTATTTCCTTTCGAAACTGGTACACATTTAACCCTTGTGGGATGAACAAAAAGTTGTGCTCATAAATCTGATATATTCTATACAATATGAAATATGTGGAAAAAGTAATAAAAATAATGTCAATACAAATATTAAGTGATGACCTGAATTACAAATTTAGAATAAGCAGAATCTCTGAACAATAATTTCACAATGTATAATTTCATGTAATGTAAAATTAAAAAGCAACAAAAAAAAAACAACTAATTTTGACAACATTTAAATTAATATTAAATGGAATATCAAAACATATTTATACAGTACACAAAATAATATTAAAATGAAACAATACAAACAAAAATAATTGCTTCATTTTTAGCAACAATAACTAAAAATAGTGATATTGTAATTCATTTATAACATTGCTTTAATCATTTGAATCTAGTGTTCATCACGATTTGAAGAATCTTAGACTAAACCATCAGTAATATGTATATTGCAGAATTTTGATAAAGGAATTTTAAGTTGAAATGTTGGTACCAGCAAAAACAAAATAACTTCTAGATTAACAGAACAAAATCAGAATCTGAATGCAATATATATATTTACATGGTGAATAATTATACATATCAATGTACAATTAATGCATAATATATAGTATGTATTAAATAATTTATAATAGTTGTAAACATAAATATTTATTGATGGAACAGTCATCCTTAATACAGAAATGAAACTTGAGATTTTGCTGTTTACAATCAATCATTCAAAAGCACATGACTGTATACAGATATAATCAACCCTTTTTTTGATAGGTCATTCTGATAAAGTCTTCTATCATCAGCTGAATATATGATTAACGAACTATGAACTTTTTATTGCTAATATCTGAGGCAGGTGAATTATATTGAATAAAATAAGATGAGAAGACATGAAAATTGTAAATTAAAAAAATAAATAAACAATAAAAAATTAATGGAGCTGAAGTATACATAATTCATGTTACGAAAATTGAAGAGAGCAGAAATTCAGTTAAATAGGATTATACCGTCACGTTTCTTTTTTGTTCTGATTTAACTGCCCATCTCTTAATAAACAAATATATACATGTGTAAATGAATATTAGCATTTTTTAAAGTTACATTTCATTTCATGATTCTGAAGAGAAAACCATTAATAAATACAAGGAGAGGTATATATTTCATATTTAATTGTTTTGTTTCCAACATTGCCTGCTGAAATGGTAATACAGACTGTAAATTGAACAAACAGTAGTTACAAGAAATAAATAAATGAATGAATAAAACTATTGCCCAAAATTATAAAAATAATTGAAAATCAATATGAAAGTTAATTATAACTACTAATAATAAAAATATCCACATCTATCATAACTTAATGGCAAAAAAAAGAGGCACATATATGATTGGTACCCATAATTTTGTACTAACAACAAAACTTCCACATCCTGAGATTAATATATAATATATATCAGATTAAAAAAATTAGAAAGAAATATTTTGAGAAAATAACAACAGTACTGGGAGTAAATAGAAATTGTATATATATATATATCCAATTAATGTTATATTCCCAAATAAGTTTTGATATCACAGATATTATTTAGAAATTCATAGTTTTATCAATAAGGCTTACAGCAATAGTACTTTTAGATAATGCCATGTTAGTCTGAGTCCACTTTCTCCCAAACACTGTTATGACCAACATATTGTAATTAGATGCATCTAATTCATTAGAATTATTAATAATTCTTGAAATTACTGCTTTAACTAAAAACACTGCTATCAGGGCTTCTGTTTCCCTTAATAGACCAACAATCCAACTAATGGGCCCTTGATTTTAAGTATAGATCCTTTAGCCATGGGGGTCCTTGACAGCGGGGCGGATAAAAGATATTTTGATGACAACTAGTAGTACCGAGAAAAGCATACAGTTTCAGGCTTGTCCAAGTATAATTGTGACAAAACCTATCTTTTATGACAACTTCTAGATAACACATAAGCCTGTTATACTGAATAAAAGATATGTTCCTTTGTTATACTAAAAAAAAAAATATAAAACGTGAATAATCAATATTTCTGATACCAACATTCGTGCAGGGATACGACATCCTTGCATCCTATTTTTACAAATGAATGAATTGAAAGGATCAGTAAAATATTTTCTGTCTCCTTCAGGATATGGCCCAGTGGAAACATATAATAAAGAAGATAACAAATAACAAAGCCCAGAATAACTGAACAGATGACTTAAGACGATTGGTACGGAAAACTACATAAAATATGTAAATTGTTTAGATTTCATAATGACAGCTTTAAATAATCACTGTTAATTTTTGTTAAATCTTCTGTAAAAATCATTTAATTAGTTCAAACAATAATGTATGTCATAAAATTTTCAAATAATTATGGATAATTTATAAAAAAACATTAAACAGGAACAGATCATAACTTAAAATTCCTTAATTTGAATTTAATAAATTCAATCTATTTAACCTCTCTGGACAGTTTTAACAAGACATAGGAATAATATTCATTCATGAACCACACATTCTGTTAGTGTAAAAAAAGATGCCAAGGTATACATAATCTGTTCAAATCAGACGTAGGCCATTTTTCAAGAAGACAATTTTTTTTTGTATTTTGCATTTTAAGAAGTCAAATATAAAACACATTGTTTGTAACTCTTCTTATAAAGAGGTTTTTTATTTTTTATATAAATTACAATAAAAACAAATTATCCAAAAGAATAGATTCCATTAGTTGTGTAGAATGTATGATTGTTTGAACAGAAATTCTTGCCTGTAGAAATAGAGCTTGGAAATTTTGTGGGGTGTTATGGTGGTGTTAATTTGAGATAAATTATCTTGACCATGAGATTGGCTAGCCCTAAAAAAATATGAGACTCCATGGTCTGATCATAGGAAAGGACAGAACAAACCTTTTTGAATAAACACTTATAGGTGGGCTACCAGCACATTTTGCTGAAAAAATAAACCATGTGATTTATTCTTCAATAATATTTGTTAAAGAATTATTAAGTATTGTAACTATTTTTTTAGCAAAGAAAAAGGAAGGATTCAATTATTATAATACCTTGAAGAGTAGTGTCACTTTTGTGATTATTCAGAACAAATATTAATTGATTAAAATAATTTATTATGAATTATTTAAAAAGTTACCAAATGTTTCCTAATACCCTCATTCATTATATTAACTTCTTTCTTCACAAAAAATTAATATGTTTAAGTAATTGTATTTGAGATAATTTTTCTGGAAACAATTTAAATACACCGTATTTTAAAGTAATAATTAAAATGCCTTTTGCTTATGTCAGGTGTGAATATACATTCCTGTAAATACCATAATCTGTTAATTATTCACTACTTCATTTTAGAATTATACAATTAACTATCTACCATTATACAATTATACCTTGGCATCTACCATTGAAGAGAGAAAATTTTTAAAATATGGGTTATTGAACGTTAAGGGGTTTTTGAGAAGATCCTTAACAAATTAATTTATACATGTATTTTTTACACTGAAAAATTAAAACTCAAGATTTATGAGAATTCAGTTTAAACTTCATAACTGTAATGATGTAATAATAAGATACAGTGAAGTGTAAAAAAATATTTATCTATCATAAAGACTAATTAACTAATGAGTCTAAACATAACGATTGAAGTAACAGAAGTATAAGCCTGTTAATTTTATATAACCAAAAAACTGCAATAATAAAATAAATAGTATCACATAACGTCATCAGAATCATAAAATGAAAACTTTTGCCAGTGAGAAAGTTAACATCAGAAACTTAAGTCAGCTATAAAGTGGTACATATAAATATGTACAATTATTTTACATACTTTTATATGTAGCATCAAAAAACTACTGCCACAATTATTACATACATGTGGGCAGTACAAATTACAACATAAACGAACATTTACGTTTTACGAATGTTCTAGAAAAAAAGTTTTTCAACTTATAAGAGAACTTTTAAAACCATATAAGTTACGTTTTCCAAAGTAGTTATGCAATTGTAAAATTAATGAAACAGTTATGCTAATTTCTTCCCTGCCCAGTAATAATATAAATGAACTAACAAAAGCCATAAATATAACTATAAATAGCCGGTAAAATTCTACAAAGGATGATAAGAATATTTAGAAAAAATATATGTGAATTTGTACATTTTTGTTTTTAACTTAATGAATACCTTCTTTTTTTTTTTTTAGTATTTACATACATACACACAAGTAAAAAATGTCATAAGATGTAACCCTTGCCCTCTATAATCATACTAATTCTGTATTTCTCAGGATTTTTTTTTCAATATAAAGCAATATTTCTTTTGTTTTATTGCCAACTTAAAACCCTTTTTCTACATTTAATTTTTTATTATTTTGTTTAAAAAAAAACAATTATTTAATCAAAAGCATTAACACACCAACGATGTTAATATAAAACAACTTTAAGTTATCAAATTTCATCAGAATAATTATATTGTCAGAGGAGTTAAAGCAATGCATGTATCACTACCTCATTAAACTGAGACGATTACATGCATAAATACAAATACTCCTAAAAAAATAAAAACAAAAAAATATTAATTTTTCAACTTTGAACAATGATGAAAATAAAATTTGTAACTTTCGTAATCAGGCTTAAGTTTAACAATAAAAAAAAGATCAAATTTTTAATATCAAATATTAATTCATCTATTGCATACAAATAAAGTTTTTACATTAATTTCTTTTTTGGTACTACTGATAATACCACCTTTTCAGTAATACAAAACAACGACAGGTTCATTGTTTTTTGTTTTTTTTTCTAAAAGATTTTATATATACAATGTTAACAATATATATGCAGGTAAGCTAGATTATATAGAATCAAACCAATAAAACAAAAACATTAATTTAATGTTTTATGGAATTGATCAACTTGTATACCTAATTATGAAGGATCAAATCAATAAGACGTATACAATAAATAACTGAATTCAGGGAAAAAATACATTATTCTCATATTGCTACCAAAAATCTAAATTAAGATTTTTATTTGTACTTAGTAATTAATAAGTATTGATTATAACAGAAATAAGTAATTACTAACCAACCTGCACTATTGGCCTTAGTACTAATTTATGGTTTATATAGATATTTAATTACATATATATTTAAAGTATCTTTTTGAGGTGAACCTGTCATTAAAAATGGCCTATTAAGTAAACCCCCCATATCCCCGCACGCCCAATGGACAAATTTACACAGAAACGGAAGGCATGTCTACTTTCAAATCACTTCGAGGTTAACTTGTAACTATTTAATTCCGTGGTAGCGTACCTTTTTAAATAAACAAAAAATATTTACAATTAACGGAATTCGTCACTGTGTTTGAAATTGTTGCATAGTATAGGCCATCATATTGTTTGGAGGTTGCATACCTGAAGCTTGTGCCATTTGTTGGTTTCCTTGTGCGCTTCCAGAAGGAGCTCCAATAACCGGCCACGAACCTGCTGGCATCTGCATACCCATTCTGCCTACGTAATTTTGTTGATAGCCAAATTGGCCATATGGATATCCTTGCATACCTTGAAGATACTGCTGTTGCATCTGTGGAGTAGAATATCCTTGTGGATACCAATAACCTCCTCCCATATTACCATACATATATGACCACTGAGCTGCCCCAACTTGATTAGCATTACTAGAATTATTTAAAGCAGCATTAGGATCAGCCGTTTCCTTACCCCAAAAACATTTCACAACCTGGCCATTAATTTCAGTATTATGAACAGATTCGATAGCATGAGTGGCTGCTTCCTTGGTAGTAAACTTGATAAATGCATAACCCTTGTCTTTAAAACATCTAATATCTTGAATAGTTCCAAATGGAGAAAAAACTTTTTGCATCAATTCATCTGAGATTCCGCTAACAAACCCACCGCAATACACTGTGCAATTAGTTGGGCTAGACTGATTGTAAACTTCATCAAAAGTGGGAGCTTTAGCATTGTTTTGTCGATTTCTACTATCCCTTGGTGGTGGTGGTTTCCGAGTAGACCAATTTGTTCTAATACTTCTACTTCCAAGCCATTGACCATTCATTGCTAATATAGCATTTTCAGCTTCTGCTTTTTTAACAAATGAAACAAAAGCATAACCTTTAGATTTGAGAGTTTGGGGGTCACGAACAATTCTGCAATTTGAAATTTCACCAAAAGGTGCAAATGCATCTCTTAAAGTCTGAGTTTCTATTTCAGGACTTAAGTCACCAACAAATATATGATGATGATTGCTAGTATCTAATTTTGGCTGATTACCTGGAGAAGTAGCCCAATTAACTTTCATTTCTTTTTCCAGAAACACACGTTTGTTCATAGCAGCTAAAGCGGTCGCAGCTCCTTGGTGGTTTGTAAAGTCAACAAATGCGTAAGGATCATTTCCAGGCTCTCTAATAACTTTACAACCTTTAATTTGTCCAATTTGAGAAAATAAGGTACACAATAACTCTTCAGAAACTGAATGGTCTAGATTACCAACATATAACGTTGTCGGGTTACTTTCGTCACACATTTTGGTTATATACGTATATATCTATACAGAATATAGATATATAAATATATAAAATCTAACTAAAGACACTTAAATAAAACAAACACGAGGTAAACGAACACAACTAAGAAGTTTTGTGATAAAAACAACAAAATCATAAAGAACTCCAAAATCTAACTCACACTCCCCTACTTCTGGCATCGAAGCTGTGATTCACTGCCACTTGATGGAGGTACAAACTCAACTTTGAAATTCAGAACTTCATGCAAATAAACAATTTATGGAATAATGTAACAAAAATTTCAAGTGATTATAACAGTCAATATGATAAAAATCCAAGTATACGAATAATAAAAATATTTATAGTATGTTAATAAATAATTGAATTAATATAATTAACAATTTTTATGAAAAACATAAGTAAAACAACGTTTATAAACTTTAAGCCGTGAAAACTTTCGTAAGTGGCACGCTTATACTAATAAAATTAAAAAATTTTGAATAAAATATAACATCTGAGATAATAAGAAAATTTTCAAGAGAAGGGGGGGGAGACTTCTTATTCTGGTTAGTTATAGGATGGTTATAAAAAATCCAAAAATATAACATATGGATTATATTTTCATCAGTTATACATTTATGAATTTTAATATAAGATTAATTTTCATTTATTCCTCTTACAGTAAATTATATGAATGGAGTAAATTTTATTTCTTCACTTTTACAAAGAAATGCTAATTCTAATAAAGAAATAAATTTACACAAAAGCTATGGGAGACCCATCAGCTTGTTATAGTAACTTCTATGAATATTGTTTATTTGATGCACATTTTAATCAATGGTTTAGATATTTTATATGCATACGTAATACAATACATTTATATTTGTATAACATACATAATAATCAATAACAGTTTATAAAGAATTTAGTTAATAAAAATGAACAATTAAGGGAATATGAGATTCAGAAATTTAGATGAAATTATTCTACTCTTTTCCACTCCTTAAGGATTTAATTTTCCGTACCGTAATGCTAAAATTGGAGTTGGTTGCATATTTAAATCATTGAATAAATATAATTTTCTCACTTGAACCAAATAATGAATACAGCATTCATACATTTTTAAATATTCATAATTTTCAATTCTTCAATATCACCTTTAAGAAAAATGTCAAGAATGGATATTCGAAAATATATAAAAGCAGAAACTGAAAAAAAAAATAATAAAGTCTGAAGTAGTGGTTTTAATTTCTTTAAAATTAGAGATTAAGTAATGGTATAGCATAATTTTAAATTTAAAACAACAAATAATAAAAAATTGTCCCTCATAAGTTTCAACTCTGATAAAACTTACTGGCTCTTGGGTGGTTTTAATTTTACTTGGTTGTTTCTCGAGAGGTAAAAAAATTTGGAAAAAGTTTTAAAAAATGTTAATACAATCCATTTAGCATACAACAGCTAAACATTTTGAAGGCAATCCTTTGGAGATTGCACGGGAGTATTGTATCACATTTTAGAAGTTTCAGTTATATTAAGCCGCAGAATATGAGACAATTTCCCTTACATTTGATAAATTAAAGATACCTTCACTATTCATGCAGGAGTAACTTTGTTTTAAGATTTTTTGATGCCACCTACAGGTTTGATAGACAATGCCAGCCATACCTTTTAGCTGTTTCCAAAACAGCTATTCTTTGTTGTTAAAAATGAACAGAATACCTTCTACTACATTTGTGTGCATTTTGTTTTTTCATTCTAACAACGTTTTTTAATCTAAAAATTCAATTTCATTCAAATTTGACCATTCCTATTAAATAACCGTGTTGTCAAGGCGTAAGTTCGCCAGTGAACTAACGCCGAAAAATAAGCTTATTGCTTAGAAAAAGTTATATAGAAAAGAAAAGTTTACATACGCACAAAACAAAAATATATATGTTAGAATACATACATGATAATTTAAAGGCAATTAAATACTCTAAAAAGTTAAATAAAACAAAAAAATCGAAATCGGAACATTATTAGGAAGAATATAGCCCATTAGACTTCCCGCTCATGTTTTGTTTATTATTTGTAATATTAAATCTTAGTAACTTTTTTTCTCAATTTTTTTGGCTTTTTTTGATTGTTGTAATATTCTTTGGATATTTAAAAAATGTATTCTTATAAATACACGTGTTGAAAGAAAGCCTTTATAAGCTCTTCTTCAAATTCTACATTTTATTTTCAAAGAAGACAATCAGACAATTTTTTTACAATACAAAAATACTGGGTTTTCTATGATATGTTTAAAATTATATTATTGTCCCATGATGCAACTGCACTCTTGACCCTCCCTCAAAGTTTGATTTTTTATGTTTCAAGATACTTAGAATCCAAAAACCAAGGAGAACAAAACCTTTCCATCTACTGCACTGAGTTCATAATCGCCTACTAAGTATGACTAAATTGATTTATTTAAGTTCTCTATTCAATTTGAGATTATTGGACATTTATAGGAGATTTCCTACCATTTACCTTGATCATGAAAGGGTAGGCTAAAATGTTTCCTGAAAAGTTTTTGTCCCAGATAAATTATATATTTTTTTAATGTCTAGAAAAAGGTATCGTTGTTCAAATATTTATTCATCTACTATCTATTAAGTCAGTTCCACAAGTATTGAAATGAATCAAATCTATGGTGTAATTAATACAAGTTAATAATCTCAATTGTCTCAATTTTATGCATGCTTTTAATTTCATGTTGTTTGCACCCTATTCTGTTAAAAAATAAAGTTTATGACACATTTTTATTTATTTATTTTATTTTTTTAATGTGTCTATCCTATACAGTTGAAATTCAAGGATCTTACTAGAATGTGGCGGTTATGGCAATAATGACGGATCTCAAATAATGATTCATGTCCACAAATTATGAGGAAGAAATGCTGGTTAACTTAACAAAGGTTTAGTATTTAGGAACATATTGGAAACGTTCCTTGCTTATAACCTAAATAATTTCCATTTAATTTTGTGTAATTTTTAGCTTCGTTAGTTGTTAGATAGGTTACTCTTTTAATGATAGCAGTGACTGAAAGTTAAGTCATTTAAGAGCCTCAAATTTCATTTATTGTGAAAAGAAGTATATATTTTTCTACTTCCTGGGAAAGAAAAAGAACAAAAACAAAATAAAAACAAGGTCTTTGTTAAAGATGTCTTAAGGCATAAGTTATGTAACGGATAGGGCCGTCGCGTGGGTTTTCGGCGCCCGGGGTGAGAATTTACTAGGTGCCCCTCCACCCTCTCTCTCTTACTCCATCTTAAATATACTAATATCACATGCTAGTAATAGTACCCCATGTTTAAATAGAGAAAGAAGGAAGGATAGAGGCAACAATAATAATAAAGATTTAGCGAAGCCAAAATTTCGATGCCATAACCAAATTGCAATCTACATGTTCCCATCCCACCTTTGAATTCGGTTTATCCCTCGATCCCTTACCAGTTGGCCAATCGCACATTAATCTTTTAGGGGATTGTAGATCGGATAGCCTCACATATATCATCTCAATTAAAAACATCGGGTACAAACCACGCAATTCGGCATTGTGAATCGGTCTGAATTCTGCGGTTAGATCGTCGTTATTCGGTTTTAAGGGGATTATATTACGGCGGGATTTACAATTTTTTAGACGGGGCGGGTATAAAAATTTAGGCAGGATTATGAATTTTCGGAATGAAAAGTTTCATACTAAGGAACAGGGAGAAACCATGGAACAGACCGCAGCAAGTATAAGTGTACATAATCTACAATTTTTCTGATTCTACTTTCTTGCTCAATACTTTTTAAAAACCCTAAGGCATTGCCCATCCCTTAGTGTAAGTGGTAACGTTTCGCTTTGTACAGAAGCATAAAAAGTGTAACAGTTTTGTCAATTTTAAAATTTCGGGATAGAACACACAAGATAAGTAATTTTGCAACCGAAAAAATACCCCCAGCTTATGCTTAATTTTCTAATTATAGCTTTCTCGAGTTATTGTTGACTCTAATACCTAAAAATCGCCAAATAGTTTTCATTCTATATTCTATATTTCTATTCTAGCTAATCAAATATTTAGTTTTATTCGTATTTATTTCGATCTTCACTTCTTTACCATCTTTCAACAACATTATTGAATTTAGCTTTTGTCATTTCCGTGTCTCGACCTAACAGTAACAAGTCATCGCCATACCCAAGCACAGATATTTTTCTACCCATATTTCTAGCTTTTTCAGTATTTCTCTTCTCTCTAGCAAGTTCTAGTGCTAAATTATATAGGGCAGGGAGAAAGGAGTCACCTGGTTTTAAACCCAACTAAAATAAATTGGCGTAAAGGATGTTTATGGTATATCCCTTGTTATATCAGGCAATCAATTTTTTTATAAATCTTACTTATTAAAATTCATATAGTATGTGTTAGCTATTTAGTATGTTATGAATACGTGATATTATTTATCTATTATGGACTAAAAGGACTACATATATTTTTTTAGTTAAGTCTCATTTAAATCTGTTCCTTTGTTAATTGAGGTTTCAATTTTTGACCCCAATTCATAGCGCCCCCTAGCAGCGGCGCCCCGGGGCGCCCGCCCACTCATGGCTCTGATAATGGAGACATGCAACATAGTATCGGAAAGAAAAAAAAAATACGAAATTATAGACATGTAATTGCTTGCTAATTTTTCTGTGGTTTTCAGGATGTTTTCTAATCTAAGTAATTGACTGTTTATTCAATTATCTATTACATGATAGAGAACTGAGGCAGTAATAATAATTAATATTAATTTTTATTAATTACAATGTATATTTTATTCACTTTAATTTTCAGAGAACTTGCATATAAAGAAATCAATAAAATTCAAAAGGTGTCACTTGTTCTTGACACAAGAAAACTTACTTATTTGAAATTTGGTTAGAATAAACACAGCTCCTAAGCCGAGAACATGTAAAGATTTCAGTGCATCGTTTCATGGTAAAGGTACATAGCAGATCTCTAAATATTAGCTAATGTTCAATCGGAATTAGAGGTTTAAAAAAAAGATCTTTTCAAGATAATATTGGTATTCTGACCTTTGGCCGTCCTCTTGTTCAGTACTTTCTCCGCGACTACTGTACATGGTTTTTGAGCTTGGTATCAAAGTCATAATTCACCCTAATAAGATATCCTATATTCTAGGATATGTATAGTTTTCACATAATTTGAAAAAAATTAATAAAAAGTGAATTGGTTGCCGTAGGAACCAGCACAGTATCTCAGTATACATACTGATAATATATTTCAATATTATTTCTCAAATATGTTTCCCCTCTATTATATAGTCTATTAGACTTTTTATTCATGTTTTATTTTTTTCAATAGTTGACCGACATAGGAAAAAAAAGCACCTCGTCTTCTCAGAATTTGTTGCATTTACCTGTACTTTCCCACATTACATTACCATTTTGTCAGTGACCAATATACCATTAGATTTATTCGCACGGGGTAACTAGTTTACACTTTATTGTACTTACTAACTTATATTTGTATCCATCGCAGCGAATGCAACATAAAGCCAACTTAACGTAGTTGATGCTTGGCTTGGAAGTTTGACTACTTTATTGTCAGATAGTTGTTTGTACTGGCTACTTGGTTTTAAAACTCACTTTAGTAGATCCTGTATGTTAATTTGTTTTTACTGTCCATGTCTGCACCCCAACCATAAATTTAAGTTACATCTATAGTCAACTATACATTTTTTAACTACCATGGCCTGTTTTTATCTTAAATGAGTGCATAGATGATTTAAATGTTTAGATTGTACTATTTATTTTGGAATTACTTACCATTTTTTGTTTCATTTGAATTAGTACGAGGCAACTACTTACCCAATATATTAACAACCATCTAAAAATCCATTAATAAATTGTTTTGTATATAGTTTGATATTTTGTATAGCTGTATCATTATTTTGTATTAATTGTGAATCTTTTATATGTTCAGTTGTTTAAAGGTCTTGGATAGATATAAATCGTTTTGTATTTTCTTCAGAGATAATTTTGAAGTTATCTTCTAGGTGAGTTATTTTATAATCAGATTGAATTATCTCAGAAATTATCAGTTTAGTCATTATTTACTAATCCGATAGTAACTCTCATTTAGATCAAAATTTCATCATATTTGGAAGTAATAAGTTTTCGTAATAAAAATAGTTCCTTTCTGATGCTGACGTCACAAATGTTGAAACAACATACTGTTTTGACTTATAGATAGCACTCTATCGGCCATTTTGTTGATTATAGTTCCCTTAGTTCTAATAGGTATTATCTAATGTTTTGTAAATCTGTAATGTTGGGTTATTGCATTCTTATGTGTGTATTTAACAAGTTTTTGTAAGATTTATTTTGGAAATTCTTTCGTTTTTTTTTCTTCGGTTTCAGCTTTAACATAGAAGTAAGGTTAAAAGATATTTTATTCTTTTGAAATTTTCAGTGATTGCCATCGGATTGTTTTTATCTTTTCATTTGTTCAAAGGTATCAGTATGATTGGTGAAACAAAAGTTACTAATCCCAACAAAGTAACTGTAGTACTTGGAGCCCAATGGGGTGATGAAGGCAAAGGAAAAGTGGTAGATATGTTGGCTATTACTGTTGATCTGGTCTGTCGTTGCCAAGTAAGCAATAATTTCTAGTTTTTGTATTCTCTATAGTAAATATTTATTTTTGTACTAATGTTATGATTTAACTATAACTCAAGGCCATACATGACATCATTTACTGTTTTTATGGTAAGAACTACCTTATATTCATGTTATTTGAAGTAAATTACAAAAATTGGCTTGAATTTGGTGTGTGGCCTTGCTATTTAACATAGTTCATTATTTTATCTGCTAAATTCTTGGTTTGAAGCTGTTCATTAATTGACTTGAATTAGTTTGATTTGAATTGCATTTAATTTGAATGAGTGATAATAACCCATATTCATAATTTTGCAAAGAGTCGCTAAAAGCCAAATGACTAAACTTCGTCATTTATATGATTCTTGTCCTTCTAATTCTAAATAAATTAAGTTCTAATTTTTACCATATCAAGATAATGAGATGCCGTCATTTTTGAATGGCGGTGCAAACAATTATCTGACGAATATGTGTTGAGGCGTTACGAATTTATGTTTCCAAATTCACCCAAGGTACTAATGTTCGACTCTTTCTCCACGTTATTGCGCTGCACAAGACCGATCCGTCTGGTTAAGCCCGATCTTTATTTGCAAACATCCTGTTTGAGGTCTGTTTATCCCTTTTGAGCAAGCAGAAGTCGAAAGTTGGGACATAATCAAAGCTAATTAAGAAAGGGTGTGTTCTAACATCATTAACCGCAATCTAAACAATGGGAGGTTATACTGTGAACAATTTGCAAATCCTTGGCTATTATTGGAATCCCAATGATAGTGTAATCATGAGATCTTGGCCCTCTTGTTGAAGTGCAGTGACATTTGTACAGTAGTACCCCAAGTTGTTTGTTTATCCTTTCTGACTGAGCACGTAAAGCAGCGATGTGATTAAATTTGATATTTTGAATGATTTTAACAATAACGGACCATTAGGGAGTTTGCGTAAGTCTTAAGTCATGATTTAAGTAATGGGAGGTTACTGTGAAGGCATAATAATCCTAAATGAGCAATATTCAGCTAAGTATTCTTAAACATGAAATATCGTGAAGTATGAAATTGTGTTAAAACAGTCTATTCAAGGTGATTTGGGTTATTTACTTACTTCTTTCAATTTCAAAGAAGGTGATAAAAAAATGCAATTGCACTCTGGTCGTATCGTATCTAGTCATAAAATATGCGGTACTGGTTAACCTTAGTCACACTTGTTCATGGTGTGCCAAATGTATCCAGGTTTATTCGAAATAGTATGAAGGCGACCGATCTTTTGAGTTTGCTACTTATAACCTTTGGGTCATTAAAGTACTTTAATACCCTTAACCATGCACAGTTATACAGAGTGAGCCAACTTATATTCAACATTTAGTTTACATCACATATCTTAATTTAGGGGTCTCCAAACTGCCCGTGGGCCACATTGAAACCTCGACTAAGTCCCGCGGGCCGTATTGAGACTTCCACCCAAGACCCTTGTGTCACTGCTTGTGATGAAAAAAAAATCTTGCTCTATAAACTACACTTTAGCTGTGAAATGAGTTTTCTAAGAGAAAAAAACCCATGCAATAAATGTTGTAGTCACCTCGTGTGTGAGCAATTTTCTAAATTTTCTGTTTTTAAAATTTTACCATGCAATCAAAGAAACTTTCGCGGGCAGGATCCACCCCACAGGCGATGGCCATGTAGACTATTGAACGTATACATCTATGTAAATAAAATAAAGGTTTTGTCTCTACATTGAATAGAATCAACCTGTATCATGATATCTTTCCGTTTCATACATTACAGACACTAAAACCACTTTAAAAAATTTTTTTGTCTGTCTGTATGTCCACATTGTCCAACGAAATTTTTTCTGGGCTAAGTTCAACAATGGCTAATGGTAGAGTTTGTGAAATTCTGACATTATATTTAGGTTTTCTTGACTTAAAACATAATCTTTAAATGAAAACAAAATATTGAGTAGAACCAAAGTTATGAACTCTTAAGTAATTTGTCTAGAGGTCCCGGTTCCGAACTCAGGGGGAAAAAAACTGAAATCCTGGACTTCTGTTTAAGCGTCAACACACTTTTAACAGTCAGTAGTTAGGTTTATCCAATTGATCTGCTCTAGATGTCATTCCATCAAGCTCGCCAAGTCAAATAAATATGGTAATATTTTTTATTTATTAAATATATGGAATGGCAGCTTAAATAAAAAAGTTTTTCCCTAGGTGTTACATTTATAGAAAACATAAATACCTGACCCTTCTCTACCAGGAAAAATCCGACATCCTCTCACACTTGAGTGCCCAAGTCACACTGTTTCGCTTAGTTGCTTTCGCCTCGATTACTACCTGTTTCACAGAAATAATTCATGGCCAAAATTTAGACTAAAACATTTCGCTCATCAGCTCTGCTATCATATTCATGTCAGTCAAGGAAGTAAAAATTTGTTTCACATATAGATTTTAAATTTTAAATCAATATTTTACTTAGTTTTAAACCTTAAATTAAATTGATTAATAAATAACTGTTGCCATTCAAATAAATTATAATGGACATAAACAAAATCTAAATACATAAAAGAATTCATTTTTGCATCCAAGGGAAGTAGATGGTTGGAATAAGAGCCAATGTCTTAACATTCAGCAACTTGTGACTGTTTTCAGTGTTTCATGAACAAGTGTGACCGAAGTGATTGTGAACCATGCCTGTTCTGCGCAGAATCTTTGTGAACAATTACCAAATATGCTATAATGAAAATATCATCTGCTTAAAAATTGACTGATATGGCTCTTTTGCCTCCAAGATAAAACTCATAATTAAAATAGTGAAATCTAAGTCTATGAAAATTTACAAGGCGATAGTAGACTCCTTTAGATTTTTTTAATAATAAGATGTATTTGTTTTTTTATTTAAACATATGAAAAAAATATTGGCATGGTCATATGTAATAGGTGGGGAACCTTTTTATCATTAGAGGCCACAGTAAAGTTTGGCAGTGCTAATGGAGGTCCTAATAATTCTTTGTATTTTACAATTGCTATTTTTATTTATCATTAAATACACACACCCACATACATACATTGAACTTAATTTCCAAATTTCGTTACACAAATAATTAAATATTAATTAATTCTACCACTATATTAATAAATATCACGCAAAAACGTTTAGAGGCCGCGATTTTCCACCTATGGCTTATGTTAAAGAATGACTAATTAAGACTTGATAATAATAGTTTTAGTTTTATGCAAAATGTTGTCATTGAAATTATAAAATTAATACAGAATTTGATGATCAAATGACCATTTTCTTAAGAACATTGTAATAAATAAAATTGTAATAAGAGAATGATGGTTGCGGTGTTCAGTCAAATTGAAATGGCAAATAATAAATAATTTCATTTATAGATTATATTAAAATATATAATTATTTTTTACCATTTCAATTTGACTGAACACTCAAACCATCATTCTCTTCAATTCATTCACTACAGTCAACCATAAACCCACAATTATAATTAATAGTTTTTTAGTTATTTTTCTTTTGTCCTACAGCTGTAAAACGTATGTTTAATCCTTGTAATATGGGGCACAGTGTAATATATTCACAATTTAGTTTTAAAAGTGATATATAGTCAGGATGCTGTAATTTTAAAGGTTTTTATTGTTGCCTGTCGTTTCAACCCAAGCATGTGGGCCATCATCAGGGCTGAAAATTGTTTAATACAATCAGAGATATAATACGAAAAATGGATATGACGAGATATGGATATGGACAGCCTGTTCTAAATGGATATGAGGTTACTTCTCCTTTTGATAATTATCAAATTCTTTCATATTTTCTATTTAACCATTTTTTAAATCAGGTTTCGATGTGAAATGATAAATTATTTCAAATAAAAATAATTAAAGATACTTAATAAGAAATTTTGAAAATTAGGCATTAAGGCGTTGATAGAGAACATCAATGAGAATAAGACCTACATTATATTAAAATTTGTTTAATTTTGCACTGATGAAATGAATGTAATCAAAATTGTTAGAACCGTTTTAAAAACAAATTGTAAAAATGTCTAAAATCGATGATATAAAGTGGCACTTCCGGATAGCCGATTTTAACAAAAAAGTTAATGTCAGATCCAAGCCATATATTAACCTTAGATACGTAATTTCAGTTTCGTCAGATTTTTCGTTTTTGAGTAAGGCTGTTCACACACACAGACCATTCTGCGAGGCTTGGCATTTGGACTCAGGAGATCTTAAAACAAGTATTTCCATTGAAAACTCAGATTCGAAAATTTTCACGACCGCAATACTTTCCCTTACTATTTATTACATATATAGGTAAGTGAAAGTAATAAGAAAATTTAAAGAATAAATTAGTAGAAGAGATAATAGCATTGTATCGTTTAATCTAAAGCTGAATTCTACTGATTGTTATCTCATCATTTAACTATTACAGATCGGTTTAAAAAAACCTCACAAAAGGAGATGGATAAATTAGAAGTGTATCCCACTACTCATAAAAAGGCTAAGATTTATTAACTGGGACAGTGAAACCTGGAAAATGGAGAGGGCATTCAGAACATCTAATTCATGACTTACAAGGGGAGATTATGGACGTGGGGTCACAGATTTCAATGAAACTTTTTGGTGATACTAGACCAAAAAATATTAGACCCATGTCCGAGGGTTCTTAGAAGCCAAGAAAAAATTTTTTTATGCAATTTTATTATTTTTTATGTTACTGTTTTCTGACTTTGCTCTGCATTGTTTAATAAGTTATTATATAATAATAATAAGCTTTATTGACATCAATTATTGACAAAAGCCTATCCCTAAGGAGGAATTTTAACGGAATTGGCTACAGTACAGCAAATATGTTTAAATTATTACAATATTTTTTTAAAAATGTTTAAAATAAAAAAAGATAACAAACCAGCAACTATATATTGTTTATAACTTGTTTCCATCTGTATCTATCCCTAGTCACAAGCCACCAGTTTTCATCTACATGTTGTATAATTTCATCCCGCCACCTCAGATGCGGCCAGCTTTTTCTCCTGTTGTTCTCTCTTGGGATCCACTCGGTACAGGCTTTGGACCATCTTTCATCCTTCAACCTCGCCATGTGACCAGCCCAGTTCCACTTTAACCGATGAGCTTCAGCCCTTATAGCGTTTGATGTCCACTTTTCGGAGAATGTCTTTATTTATTGTTTTTTCTCTCTTCTTGATTGACATTAAACTCCGGGATTGAAAGGAGCGTTTGAATTGTAGGATCTGTAGAATATAGGCAGGTCGCCGTGTTGTAATGGCTCGGTATAGGAAGGTAGCCAGAAAATATTGACGGCTGTAGGACGGATAAAGCCACTTCAACTTGGTGTAGAACTGGGTAATATGCGTATCCCTTGAGATCCCGAAGATAAAGCGGATTGAGCAATTCGTTGTAGTATTTTATTTAATAGTTAGATTTTCTAAATTATTTATTCTCTACTTTTAAGTTCATTACAATATCTTCTAAAGTGTGCTACAAAATTTTGTAAGTAATGATGTACTCAATTACAATATTCCATCTTAGACTATAAAATAATGATTATTACCATTTATTTTTTTCAGGGAGGTAATAATGCTGGACATACAGTTGTAGTTGAACATCAAGAGTATGATTTTCACTTATTACCTAGTGGAATTATAAATCCCAAGTGCAAATCGATAATTGGTATGTTTATTTTTATTATCGTTTATCTTAATATAATCAAAAAATAATATAGTATTTAAATATTAATTTTTTTATATATAGTTGACTATTTTTAAAAGTTGGCTTTAAAATAGTTCACTTAAATTTTATCAATTTAATTTTATAAATCTCGCTATTTTACAATTGTTTTGTTTTAATTTTTTAAAAGGTATGTATACGTTTTAGATTAGGTCTTATCTACCTATCTAGTTGATGATACAACCCAGGGAAAGGGAGGGGAGAAGGGATAAAGTATTGCCATCATGAAAATTTTCGAATCTGAGTTTTCAACGGAAATACATGTTTTGAAATCTCCTGAGTCCAAATAACTAAGTCCTACAAAATGGTCTGTGTGTGTGAACAGACTAGCTCAAAAATGAAAAGGCGTACAAAACTAAAATTACTTATTTAAAATAGGTATATGCCTGGGATGTTCAGCACCTTTTCCCTTCAAATTGGCTGACCAGAAGTGACACTACATATAGATTTTACACATTTTTACTTATTTTTTTCTTTCATTGGCTCGACAGACCATTATTGGCCCCTGGCCTCCTCCAATAATCTCTGCCAGTCTGCCCGCTGAAGGGCAGCAACTCTGAAGTCCCTGAACCTCAGGATTGTCTGAACATTCTCTGTTATGCCATCCACCCATCAAAGACGCGCTCTTTCTCTATGGTTGGTGCTATGAATGGCCTCACTCTTTATTTTTCCAGGGACCTCATCCTCTGACATTCGAGCTATATGGACAGCTCATTTCAATCTTCCCAGCTGTATATGATTCATAATGTCAGGTTCACCAAGGGGGTTAAATATTTCTTGATTATGCCTCCTGAGGTATATTTGACCGACTCTTCTAGGTCCATAAATGAGCAGCAGAATTCTTCTTTGAAGCCAATAAACTTCGCTCATCCATCCATGATATTAACCATGACTCCGAGCTGTATTGGCAGAACTGGTCTGATTAGCGATCTTATACAGCCATAACTTTATTGTTCCTGACAGATAATTACTCCTTAAATGTCTTCCTAGCCCGAAGTGACATCGATTACCAATGACTTTTCTTCTCTCAATTTCCTTCGATATGTCATTTCCTGCAGTTATCAGGTATCCCAAGTAGACTAATTCATCCATTTTTTCAAACTAATTGGAGCCGATTTACTCAGTATCTACCAAGATACCAAACCCGGTGGTCATAGCATTTATACGTAATCCTGGTTGTCCGGCTGTTGTTTCTGGAGCAAGGGAGGTCTCACGAACTGCAGTCAGGGATCTATCGACAATATCTAGATTGTCTGCTAAACCAAGGATCTGAACCATTCTATTAAATACTGTGCATGTTATTTAGATTTGTGCATCTCCTTGTCTCATGAGATTCCTTGCAAAACTCACCTCTGACAATTCACCCTGTATGCGCACTGCATAAATCAATTCTGTCATGGTTAATTTAACCAGTCAAATAAGTTTCCCTCGGATGCGCATAGTTCACTATTAGCTTCATAAAGAGGTTCACGTAACACACTATCGTAAGCAGCTTAGAAGTCCATAAACAGGTTATGCTTATGGATGCAATATTCTCTGCTTCGTTCCAGAATAATGGAGTGAGATTTGATCGACTGTTGATCTACCTTTGTGGAATCCACACTGAACATGCTTGTGAGAAGGGTGCTGTCTGTACCCAGACATACAATGGTTTATGGTTTATACGGCTTTCACTCATTATTAATTCTTCTTCTTCTGTATTAATTGTATGTACATATTGTGTGAATGAATCATGTAGCCTTGATATTAATGCCCTTCAATGTGGCAGAATGTATTAATATTCAATAAAAAAAATAAAAAAATTAATTCTTCTATAGAAATTCTGAAAATCATTTGTATATCTGTTTTTTCTCAATCTCCTCTAAACTCAACCTTCCTCAAGCTTTTTCTTCTCCCAACTCTGTTTCTTCCTCTTGTGCACTTGCTTCTCCTCTTTCCATCTTTTTCGATAGAGATCCACTGAACCTCTTGTGTTTCTCTTTTGAAGCATCAGTTTATATTGATTCTTGACATCTATAACTTTAGCATTTCTCATCAAACCAGTTAACTCTTTGGTAACATTCCACTCCGATTGTTTCTTCTACAGCTTTCCTAACACAACTTTCAATGCGCACCTCATTTATTCTATGTCATAGTTATGCATTGGGAGAATATGAAGTTCTCCATCAACCTTCGTCCTTAAGCTTGTTCGTTAATTTTTTTTTCTTTTTTGGCCCTTTTTGTTTTTTATATTGAATATTCTTGATCTTACTTTTGCTAAGGCATGGTAATGATCAGAGTCATTTACTCCTCTGTATGTTCTTATATCAAGAATGTCCGTCTTATTCCTTACTTTTGTACTTTTCAAAAGATGGTCTGTCTGATTAACGTTAAGTCCATCAGGGGATCACCATGTACTCTTCTTCATATTTTTGTGAGGAAACAAGGTACTGCCACCAATAAGATTCTTTGATTCACAAAATTTGATCAGCTGATGTCCATTACCGTTGCTTATTTCATGTAGGCTATGCTACCCGATTACTGAGCTTTAGCTTCTGATTTTGGCATTAAAGTCACCTGCGATGATGTCTATATCTGTCGTTAAATAGGTGCTTATATCTTTTTAAGCAACTAATAGAAATATTCCTTATCTTGTTCTTCAGAGGTCTCAGTTGGTGAATGACAACTAATCAAGGTATAATTAAAGAATTTATCCTTGACCATGTATACACGGAGTTGCAGACTCACTGGTTTGAGAAGTCCATGATCAAATTTTTACACCTTTTGGACACTACAAAGCTTGTTCCATAGATATGCAATTTGTCGTCAATGCTTTAGTAGATGGTGTGCCTCCTCTTTTCTAAATGACCTTGGCCAGTTCATCTAATTTCCTGGAGTGCAGGACAGTCCAACTTGATTATTTTGATTTTTCATTATAATTTTAGTTTAAGAGTAGGTGGTTATTAGCCCAACTGCTCCCAATTTAGATGGAGGTTTTGCCTCCGTGAAATCATCCGACTTGCTTTCTCCTCCAGGGTGGCTATCTAGGGAAGATGACCCCTAGGGTGTGTAGTGTTTATTGACCTTGTTCTGTAGTGTGGGAGTGTGTAGTGTGCTGTTTTTAGTGTATTTGTATGAGTGTCAGTGTATTGTTCCCCCATCCTGGCCTGGAGAGCCTGTGACAGTCTGGGGTACTTTGACTGGGCGATGGGGCCACCTACGCCCCACACATTTTCAATTTTCTCAAAAACAGTTGATTTAACTCTTTTTTTTTTTTTTTTTTTTTTTTTTTTGGCATTACAGACCTTGTAGATCTACTCCAAATAGTCTACAAACCTACTCCATCTCTGCTTATCTTTGGCTATTTTTACCAGTTATCTGCATGCAGCTCTATTACATCTTTGTTGATTCTATCTATCCATTTACTTTTTGTTCTTCCATGTGGTCTTTTGCTTTCTATTGAGACATTCATTGTTATGTAGATGTAGGTGCTTCCAATTAGATTGCTACATGCTCCACCCATCTTAACCTCTATGCCTTCATATTATGAGATATCAGTGCAATCTGCAAAAAAAAAAGTTAATTATTAAACATGAAGAATTTTATTATTTTCTAAAGGAGAAATAAGGTTATTCCTATATTAATTCTTATTCCTGCTAAAAAATGGTGATAAGTTGTTTGATGCGGATACCGCACCAAATTTTTAAAATATATGGTCAGAGATTCCTATTAAAAACACTTTATAAAAGTTATTCCCTGAGTTTTTTATTTATTATTGATTTTTTCGGGATTTCACTTTTCCATGCAACAACTTTATTTATCTTTCTTTACTTGATTGGAAGGAACACAGATACATCTGGTAATTATAGAATAGGTATTGCTTTGGGACGAAGAATAATTAATATTTATTTTATTTTCTCCAGTCTGCAGGTGTTCCTCAAGGTAGTATCCTAGGTCCTATTCTTTATACAGTGTATACAGCTGATAACCCAACCCATCCCAACTATGTCATCACCACGTATGCTGATAATAGATGTATTCTATCAGTTAATAACGACCCATAAATTTCATCCCAAACTCTTCAATCACTAATCAGAAACCTTGAAGAATGGTCTCAAAACTGGAGGATTAAAATAAATTTCAATAAATCCTATCAAATTTCCATAAGCCTTCATCGTAAACCTATGACTTCCTGTCCTACAGTATCCTTTAACAATACCCCAATTATCCCTGTTAAACAAATCCGTTACCTAGAACTACATCTGGACAAATGATTAACTTGGGATCCTCATACCAGACTGAAATGACAAGAAACCACTCGACGTTTCCGACTACTTCAACACTTAGTAGATAAACGCACTAACCTTTCCAATTAATTACAAAAGACTTATATACATGACTATAATAAGGTCTATTTGGACTTACGAAATTAAGCTATGGGTCTACACCAAACCATCAAATTCCTCTCGTATCCAATCCTTGCAATCCTAAATCCTTTGTAAAATCCTCAATGCTCCTTACTTTTTTACAAATAAAATCATCTATAATGGCCTTAATGTTCCTTATGTTTCAGATTTGGCCCAATCCAGATACCTATTCTTCCATAATAAACTTCATATCCATCCCAACCCTTTTTTTCTAACTTTGCTTCCTCTTCAATTCATGATAATCCTCTGAGGCATCTGAAAAGAAGATGTAATGTAGACATATTATTAGAGTGCTACCAGTGGGTAGTTTCTCAACAAGTGTATCATGTCAATTATATCCTTTTGTACAAATTTACTAGATGTATATTTTTATACAGTTGTAAATATCATAATAAATAATTAAAAAAAAAAAATTTCTCCTTAAATCACTGACATGGTAAGTGGCTGTTATACCTTCTAACGTAAAGGATGGCGTTGCTTTGTTTTATCCTTCTCAACTAAGAAAAGAATAAAAATATTGACAAGTATACAAAAAAA